GGGGGGAGGAGGAGATTCAGTGTCTGCGGGGAAGAAGGGGGGAGGGGAGATTTAGTGTCTGCGGGGAGGAAGGGGGGAGGAGGAGATTCAGTGTCTGCGGGGAAGAAGGGGGGAGGGGAGATTTAGTGTCTGCGGGGAGGAAGGGGGGAGGAGGAGATTCAGTGTCTGCGGGGAAGAAGGGGGGAGGGGAGATTTAGTGTCTGCGGGGAGGAAGGGGGGAGGAGGAGATTCAGTGTCTGCGGGGAAGAAGGGGGGAGGGGAGATTTAGTGTCTGCGGGGAGGAATGGAGGGGGAGATTTAGTGTTAGCGGGGAGGAAGGGGGAGGGAGATTCAGTGTCTGCGGGGAGGAAGGGGGATAGGGAGATTCAGTGTCTGCGGGGAGGAGGGAACTAATACATGCATGCCTTCGGGGTAGGGCGAATTATTGCAAGCAGGTGAATAAGGATATTATCTACTACAGAATATCTACCGCAGATATACTCAAATCTACATCTGATTTGTCTATATCTCTTACAGTCTTACATGTATCTACCACAGGCTTACCCATATCTATCACGGATTCACCTCCTGTATTTACTCGTGTATAAACGCACATGTGTATAAGTCGTACCCCAAGTATTCTCTTGAATATTGGTACAAACCTAATTGGAATATGTGTGTTTATACATGAGTAGATACGGTATATCTATTAGGGATTTACCTATATCTTTTACAGATTTATTCATATCTACTACAGTCTAAGCTGCAGAGTAACCTTAGATTGTAGACATGCAGCTTACACGGCGGTAGCTGCAAATGACAGTAGCAACACTTATGCTTGCAGTATATAGCAATAATAAACGGGCTTTGATAGCCACTTGAGCATCTCCAGATAGGAAGCTGAATGAACTAAAAGCACGAGCTGCTTCACTAAGAAGTACCAGCGGTTGGCTGTTTGATGTCGTGAGTTTCGACACTGGCCTGACTGGTTGAGTAATCGATTTACGAATAGCTTCGCTACTGGCCAAATGTCTTCTGTCACTAGCGACAGATTAATTGCGCAGTTTGTAGTTTCCCAAATTGTGAAGAGCGAGAAAGATGCTCCATTGGTTATCGAATTTGTTATTAAATAATGTAGGAAAGCTACGTGACATATAGGAAGCAGAGCCGATCTGTTTTGGGAGCTCGTTCATAAGGACTAAGAGGGCGGGGCGTTTCACCAACAAGTGTAAGTCATTGGCTCTTTGACCTCCTGTTGTTACTAACCTGGATAAGTAGGCTGCATGATAAATGTATCCAGGAAGAGCCCAACTACTGGCCATGTGTCTTAAGTCACTAGCGACAGTTTGCGCCGCTAGCCAAGTAGCAACGAGCGAAAAAGATACTCGTTTGGTTACAAAATAGTACAGTAGAATAGAGTATATCTGAGAGCTTAGGGAATAGACAACTTAAAATAACCAGTCGAGTAGTTGTTGCGTTATGGCGATCTTGTGTGTTAAAAGAATTATAGCCTATGCAAACCCCCCAAAATACGTATGTTAAACCTAGTAATGTGTATCTATGTTATTTCTCAACTATATACATTGGTAAAAAAAAAAGTACTCTAGACGTATTTTTGCCGCGATTTTGTTAAGGAACTATTGTAACGCAGCGTTTTACGTTACTGGATAGTTATAGATTGTGATGTTGTATTCATAGCCAAAGCACATAGACAAAGAGAAAGTCAAAGAATATATACCATGACTGATGTTGTTTAATTCAGACTGAGATTCACTATTGTTTCACTGTTACAAATTCACAGGCGGCCGCGTCTGGAGTTAGGGAGAGCATTCCTCGAATCCGCTTGTGCAGCGGCTTTTATAGCCGCTGGCACGCCTGCGGCGCATGCTCACGCACGCGCCGCGCGCGCCAATCACAGCGTCGGACACGTCCGCGTTCACCTGGCTTCACCACCTTCGCTCTGGACGGTAGCGGCACCTAACGGGAAAGACCCGCTATTCTGTAGCACCACGGTCCAGGAGGTGGCGCCGTCTATTCGCGCGGACGCGTCACGGGCGTTCAATATGGTTCCTCGACGTTGGCGATGATTGGCTTCAATCAATACCTTTGCGTCTGTGGCGGTCGCGAGGCGATCGCGTCGTGTCGGGGAGGGGGGGAGTGGCTTGTAACAGCGTCGTTACACTATGTGAAAAACGCGTCTCGCCTGACGTCACACGGATAATGTTAAGAGGCGTAAAAGTTTTCGAATTCGTTAGGAGAATGAACCTTGTGCATCTAATATTGTGTTATGAGTAAACCTTACAGTACGTTATTTATGGCTTATTGTCTTATTCTGGGTTTTCATAGCTTGGCTATATACCTACTAAGTTCACCATTGCAGTCGTGGTTTCCCGACTGTAATATACTGCATAAATGTCCATATCTACTGCATACTTGTCAATATCTACATCTGACTTGTCTATATCTACCTACATATGACTTGCCTATATCTACCTCTGACTTGTCTATATCTACATCTGACTTGTCTATATCTACCTACATATGACTTGCCTATATC